GAGAATTGCTTCAATTCAAACCAGTACAATTCAAGTAGTGTCAAAAATATAAGCATGGCTGATTTACTTAAGTAGCAATGTGGTAAAGCCAAAAAAAAGTGGGGTTTGGGGCCTGCTTAGTCACATTGGAAATAAACAGGGCTATAGAGCTTCTGAGTGCTGAAGGCAAAACAGAAAAATCCCCAACAACTGTCAGCATTGCTCTTAGGAGGCATGGAAAAGAGTCGCACAAAAGACAGAAGAGAAGCACCCTATGAAGAAATCCACGGTGATTCTGGGTGGACAGGAGGAGAAAGGTGCTCCTAGCATGCATTCCTGGTTAAGTGTTGCAGTGACAGTCACATAACTGCAGAGACCTCCACTTAAGATGCAGTTACTGCACATGGAAACATGTAGAACTGATGAAAGATCTTCTAGCTTTTTTAAAAAGAAAAATTAAACATCTATTTTTATTTTAAATGAGATTGCAATTGCAAATGCTGTCTTTTGAGGAAACTGGTATGTTCAGGTTTTTCACTTAAAATGTCAATTTGAGATCAGTTGCTGTATCCAGAATAAATTTGCTTTAAGTGCATATGGGTATACCTGACCAAATAGCAACTCTTTTGTGTGGAAATGCCAGACAGAGTAACTGAACAAGCCTCAGTATATGAAAACATGTTTCAGGTTACTGCCATGTGTACGAAATAAGTCTGACATGCCTTTGAAGGGGTAACACTGAAAGCACTATCATGAGTACAATGTGATGCCGGTGTCTTTGTGTTTCAGTTGCTACCCTGTTCTTTCTGAGAAAAGTGAGGGCATTAAGAGAAGAGATCTAGTATCAAATGTAGCTGCTCAGTTTTGATTTAGACTTTGGACTTGGCCAACCAGAAAATCCACCATCTCTGCATTTAAGATTTTCTGGAATGAATATCTTGGTGGGCACAAGCTCTGTTGTGCTAAAACAGGTGTGTTCAGACTGTAAGAGACTCAGAACTGTTTTGTTTTCAAAGATCTGTAGCTTTTGGTGCTGCAGCAAGCTGTAGCAAGATTTATCTCAGTATAAATAGGCTCTCTGGAATAAATTTGTGTTTCTTGCTTGCTTTCCACATTAACCTATATTAAACTACAAGTCCCAAGAACCCTGTGGAGAATTTCAGTGGAATTACCAGACTGCCTTTGAATTAACTAGCCTGACATAGTTATCACTTCCAGCATCAGTGATCGATGTGTACCTTTCAGAGTCAACTGGAACAACTTACTGTGTTGCTCTAAAGTTCACCCTGACCAGTTACTCCAGCATACTGAAGAACACAAACCTCTGTCTGGCTTCTTGGTGCTGACTGATTTCTGAACAATGCAGTCTGGCTAGCAGCAACCTGGCATCGGCCCAGAGGCTGAGCCCTGAAACATGCCTCAGAGGCCTGAAGTTGGAAGCAATGACAGGCTTTTCCCAATTACGTGTGAACTTGGTGCCTAGGTACACTCACTCAGTTGACTGTGTAACTGAGGTAACAGGTTGGGTTGTAAAACTCACTCGAGAAAACAGCTCTACAGTGGAACAAAAACAGAAATTCACAAAATTACTCCTCTCTAACTGGAGTCTTACTAGATGTTTCATGTTCAATTAATTCACAATGCTCTTAGGAAACTCTAGGAAACATCCTCTGCTCTGAGAAAAATGCATACTTTGCTCCTGAATCACAATTTGGCTGCACTGACACTTGCGTGCGTTCTTTTGGAAGTGTACTTTTGGTTTGGAGTGATTAGTTTCTCTAAAATGAGTGCCAGAGAGTACTTAGGGGTTTTATTTTAAAAGTGTGGTCATGACAGATATGGGATATCAGAATTATGGAAATAGTGATATGTGCCACATTCTACAAATGTCCATTTTGTCTTCAACACTTATCAAATATTATATACATCCAATATGTGTGTTGTCTTCCTTGAGACTGCTGGGGAGACTGCTGGGTTTCTAGCATGCTTCCTATTCCCCTGATACCTGGTGGAGAGCTTTTCTGGTCATTGCTAGGGAGACACTTCTTTCTCAGAACCCCCCTGTGTCACCAACTTTCAAACTCTCTGCAGCTTAATTGGAAGCAGTGCTGCTGTCCTTTGGATATTGTGGAACAAAGTATTGGGCAGATAAACACTTAGAGCACTCTAATATCTCTGTTCTTAAGATTGCTATGGCCTCTGAAGTTCCCCCCAATTTAGCCAGTCACCTTAACACCACCCTTGACTCAAAAACAGTGAAGGCAAAAGCAGATAAAAGCACTTTGCACAGCTAAAATAGACATGAGAGCTTGCAAAGGCTTATAATCACATGCAGCAACAGGAATAGAAATTTACCCATCCAGCTTATAAAGGGTTTTCTCCCCCTTTATATCACTGGATAAGCTGGTAAACATTTCACAGCTTTCCTCTCTGAGAGCTTCGTGGCTCAAGCCAGCTCTTCATCCTGATATTGTCAACATGGAAGAAGGCCAGTATGAGAATCCCTTCTTTCCTCTAATTAGTGTTAATGAAGCCAAGAGGGAAGAAAACTAGCTCTTCTACCCAAGCTTTTTACTTGGAAAAGAGCAATGGTTCTGTGAGACCGGAACAGAGGATCTCCTCTATGATTTAATAAATCAAAACATGCCTTCCCACATTTTTCCAAACCCTTAACCAAGTTGACAGTCCCTTTACAGTAGTTTGGAAGTTGTTCAAACCCCAGGATGAAGCTTCTTCTTGCATTACGTTTTTTAATTCATATTAAAGTGTATGTTTACTTCAACTGGAATGTAAATAAAGTTAATGCATGTTGATCTTGAATAAAGGCAGAGATGGGGATAAGCAGTTGCTCTGAGTACCCTACGGTCATGTGTTTGAGGAGTGACTAAAAGTAAGCTTATGGGAACCAAAATGAAGGCAGTGAAGGCAAACTCAAGGAGGAAAAGGTGCTGAATTGAAAACTATGGATGAGAAAACAATTCCAGAGAAACTTCTCCCTGTCTGGAAAAATTTGTCTTTCTACACGTTTGTTTGAACACATGTAATTTCACCATCAAACTAAGGAATGAAAACTATACAGAGCTACTACCCAGACCTTGAAGGAAGAAACTATTATTTGAACTAAAAAAGTAATGCCCTGGTATGGTGGAAGGGGCAGCTGACCAGACCAGATAAAATGTAAACACACTATGGAAAGCAAACAAAGCTCTGCTCCAAGTAGAAAGGCTGAGCAACTTCAGGTGATGGAATACGGGAACGGTGGCACCAGGCACTCACACGTCTGTTCTGGTAAATACCAGTCATAAGCGAGGGTCCCTGCACTCACCCCATGAGCGGGGTGCCCAGTTCGCCAAGGACTGCTTTCACTTGTGCTACCACACGTCCCCAGGGCAGGTACTGCTATGCCCGGCATGCCCTGGATGCACCGTGCTGCGTGGGTAGAAACTGGTTACTCGAAGTTCACGTCGTCAGTTAACGTTTTATGCACGTCTCCGTTCCCACCGGGCTGCCAAAAGGGGGTCAGCCCCAGGGCGCGGCAAAGCCGGCACGCTGAGCTGGCCACAGGCCTCCCGCGCCTTCCAGGGTCAGCACGGCCCGGGCTTGCCGTGAGCCCCGGGCGCAGCCGGAGGGAACCCTGGTGTCCACACAGGGATCACGGCCTGAAGGGGAACTAAACCCAGCAGTGGCGGCTAAAGGAAGGGCACTGATAACAGAGAAAACGCGGTTAGCTCAGCCTTCGGGGAGACGCCCCACGGAGACCACGCAGATGGGGCCACCACGGGGGTCAGC